ACATCGGTGAAAGCTGCATTTAAGCGCGTGATGCGCTTGCAAACATACAGACAAACATACCGAAATTTTAGATTTGGCTTCTGTTGATCTAATAAACCCCCTATTAATTTTTCTTTAACATCTATTATGTACAGATATCGGCCTGTTGCAATTTTATTATTCTCAAATACTCTCGTTTGATACCCATATGGCAACACTTAGTTTATATTATAAATTTAACTGAATTAAAGTTTTCAAATAAGTGGCTACCCGCTTCAAGAATATTTTCAAAAGTAAGCTTCCAAATCATTTTTGTTTAATATTCGTATTGCAATATTTCATTTATTTTACAAATTTTAATGTATACAATTTTTCAATCAGTTGGCAAAACCCTTAAAAATATTTTCAGCATTAAAATTTCCTAGCCTCTTTAGTTTGATGCCAATATTGCAATATTTAATTTATGCTATCAATTAAATTAAATTAAAGTTTTCAAATAGGTGGCAACCTTCCACAAAAATATTTTCAGCTGTAAGCCTTTGTAAATTTCTTTCTTTTGACAGCCATATTGCAGTATTCACTTTACCGTATCAATTGACCTAAATTGAAATTTTAAACACAGGTGGAAACTCTCTAATTTTTTTCCTCCTATATTTTAAGTTAGACCTCTAGCAATACATCGGTGAAAACTGCATTTAAATCCATGCATTCGTTTTCGAGTGATGCGCGAACAAACATAAAGACAGACAGACAGACAGACAAAAATTCTAAAAATGGTTGATTTGGCTTGTGGTGCTCTAATAAAGACCGCCCACATTAATTTTTCTTTAATATCTATAATGTACAGACATCGACCTGTTACAATTTTATTATATGTATAGATGAAACGTGTAGCGCAATGAATGCAAAATAGATGAAAATCCATAAAAATATCATAGTCGATAGATATCAATAATTAAATCGAAATAAAGCAGGCGATAACTACATTGATTAATTTCGATAAATAAATTGAGAAACATCGATACCTTAATCGATGCGTACCTAATGATAACGAGATCGACCAATATCGATAATTATTTCGAAAGAAATTTCGTTAATAATATCGACAAATGGATATTTCTACATGAAAAAATCGATTTTTCAATCGATTTGAAAATCATAAGTTCTTCCTGCCGAGCACTCGAATCGAACGCAACTAACTAACCACAAACACTGTTAAAAAACGGGTGAAAACTTTCATTTTTACCTACAAATACGCTTATTAATAGTTAAAAAAAAAAAATTATGCACTTTGACGACTTCAGTACTTTCAAGGAACTTTTATGAATGGCTTGCAGAAGCTTAGACCTGTCCAATACTGCACTTGCGAAGCATAGAGATATGCATTCGTGTGGCAATTAAACAAAATTTCAAAGTTATACCAAATTTCATTAAATATGCAGTAAAGCATAAATGAAATAGAAAATTTTGTGGGCAAAGTGCAAGAAGTGCCGAGCGAAGGCTGTCATCAAAAGAGAGTGAAAAGTGAAAAATTTGAAATTTAAATGTCAAGGAAAAATTTGCCAAACTTCGTCGGAAAGTGCATAAGCCCTCCCTCCCCCTTTTGCTTTTGCATACTGGCAGTGGAAAGAGAGAAATGAAAAGCGCATGAAAAAGAGGAGGGGGGTAAATAGTGTGCATGCTGATTGACAAACTGAATGACGGCTTGACTGACTGTTGGACATTTGAGAGGACGAAAAACAAATAAAAATCTGGTTAAAGTTTTCAATAAAATGCAAAGTGTACACGTCCCATTTCGTAAAGTAGTACAACATACAAAGGGAAGAGGCATGTTTCAGCGAAGCTGCAACTGCATTGTGCATATCAAGAACGAGTGTTGCACACTTGCTGTTGCATGCAACATGTAAGCTTAGAATTGTCAATTGTTGCATGCTTGGACAGTGTTGGGTAGTGCTTTATATTGGCAGTTGGTCTGACGTCGGCCGGTGGTCGGTCGATTCGTCAGCACCAGAGTGGCATTTGTGCTTAGCCAGTAGGTTTGCTCTTTTGCATCGCCATTGATATGTGTGACAAGTGTGCTTGCCACACACATACATGCACTGACAGCATACAAAAAACAACAATTGTTTACACTTTTGTGCATTTGCTTTTGATTTTGTCTCTCCTCCTCCACCGTCGGCTGTGTTGTCTATGGAAAAATTCAACAACTAGTGACAGCAGCGCTTAGTAGAGCAGGCAAAAAGAAAAAAACGCAAATGCAAATTCACATAAATATCGATTCATGCATACTTCTATTTCTGCTTCAGCCTTGCGTGCGTGCGTGCGTGCGTGCGTGCTTGTGCTGTTGTGCTTTACAGTCAATATGAATGACTTTTAAGCCGGTGTGCACAGATAAACCAATAAAGTCGACAAACAGGCAGGAAAAGTCACTGTTTTGCAACAGCACTTGCATCAATATTTGACTTGCAACTAAAAATGTCCGGATTTTTGGTATTTCATAAACAAGTCTAAATTTTACATACAGTAGTCTCGATTTTCCACAGCTTTGAACTGCTTGCCAAGCGGTAGTTGCATGTTTGATGTGCTCTTAAGGCATTCAAAGTTGAACCAATAAAGCTACTAGTGCAAATGTTGCTGTTAGCTTAAGTGGGAGGTGTGCGTGTGTGTGTGTGTGTGGTAGAAAGGTGCCTTGTAAAACTGCAATTTTCCTAAAATATATTTGTGTTTGAAATTTATTGATTGGCTTAAAGGTTAGGTAAATTTATATGTATTGCCTTTAAAAAATATTTATGTACGTACATATTTAGGGATGCGCATAGAAATAATCGATCAGCAAGTTTAGTGCAATTTTCTTCCTTTCCTTTTTTACCAATATCCTTTATTATCAGATGCTAGGATGGATTTAATTAGGCCGTCCACATCTTCTATAAATATAATACAATTTTAACAGGTCGATGTCTGTACATTTTAGGTATTAAAGAAAATTTAATATGGGGGGTCTTTATTAGAGCAATGGAAGCCAAATCAACAATTTTTAGAATATTTTCTGTATGCCTGCCTGTATGTTTGTGCGCGCATCACTCGAACACTAAAACATAGAATTAAAAGCAGTTCTCACCGTTGCATTTCTAAAGGTCCAATTTAATATATAGGAGAAAAAAAAATTATAGAGTTGCCATCTGTTTGAAAATTTGAGTTAAAGAAAATTGATAAGATAAAGCAAATATAGCAACATGGAAAAAGGTTTTAAAAGGCTTACAGCCAAAAAGATTTTTGTGGAAGGTTGCCACCTGTTGGAAAATTTTAATTGAATTGATAAAATTAATATTGCAATATAGGTATCAAACCAAAGAGTTTTAGGACAAGTCACAAGGCCTTTTTATGTAGTAAATTATGTGACTGACAACGATGCAATGATTATCCTATGCAAGGTCTAAAATTATGCAATAAATAATCCAGTGAAATTCTGATTATATAGTAGTCTGATTCGTCTTTAAAGGTCCATGATTTGTTGACAAATACCGGTATGCAGTGTGATTGTAAAAATCATTACGCCAAATTTCTATCGTACAAATTTTTCTTATGCATATTAGGGATGCCTGAAAATATGCAACATATAAGCCGAGGACCAGTTAAGATTTCTCTGAAGCCTTTGCATAAATATCCTTAGACGCACCTGCTATTCCTTACGGAATTTTTATTGGCTGCAATTTGGCGTGGCGATTTCTTGGATTCAATTGACTGAAACTGGGTAGAAAAAGGATTTGTAGAAAGGGCTTTCGTCCGTATTAAGCTTACTTATGATTGGTCGACAATACTTAATTGGTTGAAGAATCAGCACTTTGCTAAAATTTACCACCCATTAGCACTTTCTTTCAATCTTCGAACAAAGTTTTAATATACTCGAACAAAACTTTATGGAAAATTATGAAAATACATACCTATTTATGTAGAAGTAAACACAATTTTTTTGTATCTCCTACCAAAAATTGCCACTACCCACTACCATCAATAATCACTGATTACTTGCTTTCAATTGAATTTTCCCAAACTCTACCTAATGGTGATGAGCGCAGCTAAATTCAATTGTCGTAGAGCGAAATTAAGCTACTAGAATCTCCTTAAACTACCGGCCACAACCTTTTGCATGTAGCTTGTCGATTGAAACGTCAAGTTTCTACTACATATTTTTGTGCTTGAAGCAATTTTACCCTTCATGCGGCAAGTTGCATTAGCAAGTGAATTGAAGCGGGCATGGTATGCCTTGCTCGAATAGTTGCAATTTCGAATTTCGACTACTGTCATTATCAACATTTTACCAACTCCACCTTTTCGTTGTTCGCACAGTGTGCTGTGCCACGCTGAAATTCAATAACTCAAAGGCGGCGGGGTGCTTGAAAAACAAAAACCCAAAAACTAAAAATAAAAATTGACCCAAAATAGCCAGATAACTGCTGCAGCAAGTAAAGATGCAACTAACCAAGCAGGAAAGTGACTTGTTAACCGAAAATAAAAGTTACAAAAACAAAAAAGGTGAAAATGCAGCTTACGTTGCACAACGTTAGACTAGTGGCACAAATTGAAGCGGCTGACCGAAAACTAAACGTCCAACTGACAATTGCGGGAATGCACACCTGTGCTGCTTGCACCATTGTTAGGCTACCCGTCAACAACACTAACGTTTGCTTGTTTTTGGCAAATGCTCTGACGTTTTACTAAATATTTTCTAACTTTTATCTCTTTTTTTTTTCTCCTCTTTTCTCTTTTTCATGTCATGGCTGGCACTTTTTTTTGGCAACGCTGTGTGAAAACCTTATCGATTGATTTGTCCAACGATGCGTTCCTTTGCGTTGATGTGGCTGCGGCGGCGGCGGCGGCGGCGGCGGCGGCTGTAACTGTAACTGTGACTGCTGTGGTGGCTCGCTGGCGTTGACTATGTGGCTATGCTGCTGAAATGGCGTGACGCCCTTGTTGCTGTTGTTTTTGTTGTGCTAACTTGCTGGCTGGCCACACAAAAAAAGGCGGCATTTTATCGAACAGTTTGGCTATTGCAACAGATGCTGCTCACTTGCTAACAGATTTTGCCAGTTTTATGATATCATTGTTTGCCATCTGGATAGCTGGACGACCATCAACACAACGGTAAGTTACACTAAATCCATATCTACATACATATATGTACAGAGATTATCATTGCAGGCGTGTGCACACACACATTTGCAAATAGATTGGTTTTATTCTTAGTTTAATATTGAGCGAAAGCCTTTTACTGCAGTAGTTTTTCCGTAGGTGTGCTGGCAGTTTAACTTATGCCCAACTGCATTTTCACAGTTGAAACGAATTCCTTTCTATTTACTTAAGTAGCACTTTTGATTGATTGGAAATACATATGTACATTTTAGCATTCGATAGCGGGCAGGCCAAGTTACTAGCCATCAACTTTCCCAATAGACTCGTAACAGAAACATAAGGCGTTAGACTGTAACACTTTAAGCGTTTAGCCGGACAATCACAAAGTATTTTGTGCTCTGACGTCTCTTCGTATTCATGACAAAAACCAGCATTACGTTTCCCTGCTCTCCCTAGGGTTAATCTGGTGTATTATGTGAGAGCGGGGGTGTAAAAGAGCAGCCAGTTGCCTAGTGAGCAACCTATTGTTGACTCTATCTAAAAGATGTATGTCTTTTCCACCGAAAAAAAGTCAAAGAAGCTGAGGTGTCTAAAATCGGCGAACACTACCGAGTACCTAAATACCACGTTGGGAGTTTAATAATAATAATACATACTAATCTTGTAGCGCTTACCCTATTGCCAAGTGTTTGGTTAATCTTCTCCTTCAATTAGCCGTCATAACACAAACAGAGGGACACATAATTTTACGCCGCCTATAAATGGCAAATAGTTTCTATTAGTAGATTTTCCATGCTGAGATTACCTCCTCCTTAATTGCAAGACCAAGTGTGGCTGCAATATATTTTCTTCCATCCCCCAGAACAGGCGATGAACATACCCTCGCCTGTTCGTAGCCGAACTTTTTTTCTGCGATCTCGCAGTTACCTAAAAGCACTGTGTTACTATGTTTCTCGCTGACAAGAGATGAAGATTGGAAAACTCTCCTAGACATGCTTTGAGGTGATCATCCTATTGTACTGCCCTAATAGATGCTTAGCTGTTTTTGAAAATATATCTATAAGGCCCACTTTCAAACCCATTTCAATTTAATCCGCATATATTATGTCCTTCATCTTTGATTCGCCTGTGAGCAATGTACAGAGCTAGACAATTTAGGCCTGGAATTCCTTACCAAAAAAGATTTTTTTAACACAGAATCGGAGCTGCTGCGTTTTGATTAAAAGTATTGAGTTTATCCCTAACTAAGACGACTTTCGGGACCTGCTTCAACAAGTTCTCATTGATTCTGTCTGCTGGACTCTGTCCGTAAGAAAGAAAACATTTTCGAATAAAGCAAAGACTGTGTGTGATTTTTCGGAGTTTTTCGAGACTAGTTATTGACGATTTTCACTGGACTTAATCGGGAATAGTAAAGATTTTTTAGCTACATCTTGGATTGTTTTTTGGGATACTTCGGATTCTTTTCAAGATCTTCTGGTATCTCTCGTTCCTTTTTTGAGAACTGTCGGGCTTTTGTCGGTACCTTTCGGGGCTTAAAACGGTGGTTCTAGACTTTTCAACACTCTTTTAGGATTATTCGGCACCGTTCCAGAGTTTAACTGTACTGTTCGGTGTTTATGATGTCCCACTTTTGAGTAGTATTCGGAAACATTAAAAATTTTTTGTAAACTTTTCGGAGTAGTAGTGAACTTCGAATTTTTGGGAAACTTCAGGTTTTTGGTAATTTTTAGAATTTTTCGGAAACTATTCGAATTCTTTGGGCAACCTTTCGAATTATTCAGAAACTTCGGATTATTCGGCAACTTCTCGGGTTTTTTGAAATGTTCCGATTTTTGGGAGACTTTGGATTTTCGGAATCTTATTGGTTTTTAGCAATCTTCCGACTTTTCGCAACTCTAAGCGGATTTTGCGGGACCATTCCTAAGGTTAACGGTACTTTTTGGTACTTTTCTTGTTTTACTTTTGAGTATTCGGAAACATTTCGGATTTTTGGGAAACTTTTCGGAGTACCGGTAAACTTCGACTTTTTCGCGAACTTTTGGGAGCAATATTAAACTTCGGATTTTTCGAAAAATTTTCTGATTTCTCGTAACTTTTGAAATTTTTCGTAAACTTTTCGATTTTTTTGAAACTTTTCGCATCTATCGGAAACTTTTCAAATCTTTCGGTAACATCGGACTCATCGAAAACTTTTCAGATTTTGTGGAAAATTCTCGGTTTTTTTTGAAACGTCCGTATTTTTTTGGAATGTTATCCGATACTTTTCCGATTTTCCGGATATGTATTTTTTAATTTAATTGGGATTTTTTTTGTATTCTAACGTGCTCTTTCCGGATATTTTGTAATTTTTGGGTAATTTTTGAGATTTTTTTCGGACCTTTTTTTTTCGGAAACTTTCGGGTGCATAAGTATCTACATTTAAATCCAAGCTTTGTTCTCTATGAATATCAGGAAATTGTCAGCTAACTCCTTCATCAACATTTTACTAAGTGAGCTGCCCGCCATTAGTTATTTGCTTTTATGTATATTTGCTAGCCGCAGCTCTTTCAACAAAATATGTCGTTCATTCTCATTTACCAAGCGTTCCCAACAAATTTCACAAGTTTACAGCCCTCTACAGTATTTTAGACATTTGATGAGTTTTTACTTTTTTAATTTTCTATCAAATACAAAACATTTTTATTGCCAATAAATTTCGCTAGTTTTGGTTTTTGATGAAAACTCGTTCGTTTAACGGAAGCAGTAGCTGATATTGCGACAGCCAGTTTTTGGTCGAGTGGAAAAATGGTTTTCAATTATTTTCATTTTCATTTCCATTTTCCAGTTTTCATTTTGCTTGCTAGTCAGCAACCAAATAAATGTTCTATTTAATTGCCATTTAGTTTTGGCAAAATGGCAGCACATTTAACAACTGTGTGCCCGCTGACAAAAGGCAAAAACAAATATAGTAGCTTTGTAAACGGAGACATATGTATATATGTATGTATGTATGTATGTATTTGGGTTGAATGAATGCTTATCAAAAACGGCAACAAGAACAAGCGTAATAATAATAATAAAATCTAGCTATATTCGTATATTCAGGTGTATGTATGTATGTATGTATGTACACATGCACATACGTGTGGGTAAACGTGATTGTTCGCTCGCTTATTATTTGAAACGGTCAGTTGCCTGATATCGACAAGCAATAAACCCGGGTTTTGTGTTGCCGGTTTTTGCTTACGTTTTCTATGCATGTATGTATGTATGTACATATCAGGGATGTTGCGAATATTTGCATTCGCATTTGTTATGCGAATGTTTCGCATCATTTTACACATTCGCATTTGACATTCGCATCAAATGATATGAATATTTTCCGAATGCGAATGTGTACACCCCGCGACAAACGATAGCGCATCAACATTTTTACCAGTCTTGACTACATTTATTTTGACTTTTTAAAGGTTCATTATTTTTATAGCTTTTTTTCGAACAAATACCACATAAAACTAAATTTCAGACTTTGTACAAAAGTTATAAAAATTCCACAAACTTTTAATCGAGATTCCATGCATTTTAATTTTAATTTCTAGAATAATTTTTGGGATGCAGTTTTAAAGCTTATTAAATTCTAGTAAAATAAAGAGCAAATTTTAAGTTGCCAAAAAATCGCGTTGATTTTTGCTATTTTCTTTTGCTGACGGTATCACGGATTTTCTTCCATACAAAGTAATTTTATAAAGTACATGGCCAGAGAGTCCACTCTAATATTGTTGAAATGGCTCTAAATCTATCTAACCAGGGTGTGGACAATAATCGGCTTTTAGCTTCAGGCGCTAAACGGTCAAGCAAATTGATGGGCCTTCAACAAGTGCTGTTAAAAGTCTTATAAGCAACCTAGATTAGATTCCTCCAGCGAAAAATGGTCTTTCTTATATACATATATATATATCTTTGGTGAAAAAGAAAAAATTATAGCCATATTGCATCCGTCATTTTGAATTTAAACAATCTGCTGCTATCAGATTCGAAATCAACGCCCTCGAGAACTCCCCATTTATTTGAATTTAAGCTGAAAAGGAAGAAGTTGTAAAATTTGGTCGCCATATTGGATCCGCCATTTTAAATTCCAAAAATCTTACATCAGATTCGAAATCAGCGACTTTAAAAACCACCGAACACTAAGTTTCAAATCAATTTGGTTACTTCCCGACTTTTGGCCACAAATGATAGTCGCCAGACCATAGTGCACAGTATAGGTTAAGCGATCGTCCAATGTTCTAATAATTAAAAAAAAAATTTAAGTAGTAGACACGATGACTTAAGTTGATTATAGCTTTTTTAATGTTATTCCTAACATTCGCATTCGCCAATGTGACAAATATGACATTCGAAACATCCCTATCATACATATATGTGTATGTGTGTGTGTGTGGATACACGTGACGTATGAGTGATATTGAATTGAAATGTGCGCAATTTGTTGAAGCATTTTAATGGTTTTTTGCAGTTAATTAGTAGGTCATTGTGTTTTGTAAACATAAAACATAAATTTCCTTCATTTTCAATTGCCTCATTTCGATATGGAGGATGCTTGTTGAATTGAAGTGATTCAATCCTTGACATACATACATACGTACATACATATGTACGTATTTACAAAATGTACTTTGTACTTATTAACATAAAAAAAAAATAAAATTTTGTAAAGCTTTGATGAAAAATAAGTTACCTAAGTGTATACTATTTTTCACAGCGTAGAGCCCGAAAATAAGTATTGCATATGTTAATTGCTTAAAGCCTAGAATCCAGCTCTGAAGAAAAATCACAAGACATATTTTTCATTCAAGGTATTCATATAAACGCGTAAATTCTTCGTAACTATGTAAATCTCGTAAATAAACCGGTTTTACGTACACAATTAAACATATTTACGAGGTTTACGTAGATATGAGGCTTTTACGCGTTTATATGAATTGCCCTATTAATTCTGTTGCTTGAAAAAGCACCCTGCTTTTGCTGCA